GTAGAAGACAGTTAGCAGCAGCTCCCTCTTTAGGGTAGTCCTCCTGAGGCTCCTCAGTAAGTGAGATGCTGCTGGGCCTTTTTCATAACCTCCAAGGTGTTAGAGCTTCACTGGAGGTCTGCATCCATGTGCACACACAGGAACTTGAAGCTGAGCACCCTCTTCACACACTCCCTGCTGATGTAGATGGGCTCCAATGCATTATTAGTCATAATTAATCTCTGGCGCTCTTCTACAGTGTGTTTTTTTTTATCCTATCTCAGTCTGCTCTCTTCTTTTCTCCTCACCCCCAACCGGACGGCTGCACCTTCCTGAGCCCACTTCTACTGGAGATTTTTCCCTATTAAAAGGAAGTTTTTCCTTCCCAGTGTTGCAAAGTTCTGGCTCATAGGGGGTCATCTGATTGTTAAGGTTTTCTTTCTTTTATTGTAGGGTCTTTATCATACAGTATAAGGCGCCTTGAGGCAACTGCTGTTGTGATTTGGTGCTATATAAATTGAATTTAATAAAAATAGCTCAGTAGTTCTTAAAGCTACATAATGTGTCCACATTAGCAAAAGTAACACTGTTTATCAGGTATGTGGTGAAGCATGTTCACAGTCTTATTTTAGTATGGTAGTTTTTAACCTGATGATGAAATCAGAAGAAAAATCAAGCGATGGCAAACGTATTATTATTATACCATACAATATGAATTTAGCAACAGTCCATTCAGTGCTTGTTAGGAACTTCAGCCTAATGGGGGTGTAAGCTGGTCAGTGCAATTCAAACTCTTTGTGGCTAAATCCCACATGTGATGATAAAAATGTGATTTCTTAGGTGAAGGAACTCTTCATGCTGTCTGTCTGTAGGCTGTCCAAGGCTGCGGACATGGACCACCACTGGGTGGCAAAAGCCTGGTTAAGCGATGTGGGTTTGCCTCAGTACTCCCAGGCATTTCACAATCACTTGATAGATGGGCGGGTCCTGAACTCTTTGACACGTCGGGACCTCGAACGTCACTTAAACATCACCAAGAAGTTCCATCAGGTCAGCTTGCTGCTAGGCATCGAACTGCTGCAGTTGCTTCATTTTGACAAGGAGGTAAATGAGAAACGGCAGTGAGTACACTGATGGGTGACAAATTAAAGGAAAACAAATAACAATGAGGGGTTATAGTAAGGTGTTGGGGCTTGACATTGATTTTACTTTTGAGTTGACCTTTTATCGATTGGCAGTGATCCTTCCACCTAAAAGGATAAGTAAATGCAAACTGCGTGCCCCACCACGGCACGAGCCACTGTATCTCCTTACTGTAGGGGTGAAGGGTCTAGATTTTCAGTCTTTTAGTTTTGTCACTCCTTTGTACTTTGGGATGTTCACAGTAAAGGTGAAAATAGATCAGATCTGTAAAAGTTCTTGTTAAAATGGTTTTCAGGCATTACAGGCTCGCCGGATACAGTGCGAGCACCACAATGTGGATCCTCTGGTGTGGACCACGCATCGGGTCATGAAATGGATCAGAGACATTGACCTCAAGGTGAGAGAAAGTTCATCTTAAAATTCTTGAACACATGTCAGCCAATAGGTTAACAGGTCAAAGTTGTATGCGAACAAAAGTATAGTTTTAGCAAAGTTAAAGAGTTTACCGTTACGCCATAACAAATCAGAGACGTTCTGGGTCTGAATCTCAGAATGTCCCGGGTATGTAATAGTTAATTTCCAGATATTTGTGTTAAAAATACTCTGATAAAAGTTCATTAAGGTTTAAAAGTAGCTCTTTCGAGCACATATCTACCATCTATTTTTATGCAGAGGAAACGCAACCTCATGTCATATTATGGAACGCACTTGTTAGATTACATCTGGTATGTTGAACATAAACAGAGAAAAAACATATGCTGCTGCCCACATTGTAGATTGGTGAGTTGGCCTCCACATCTAAACAGGAAAATGAATATAGTCAGGGGTTAAAGTGGGATTTGGCAGGCAAAAGAACCCTAATATCAGCTGTTGTGGTAGTGTACGAGAAAATAACCACTATGAAATAAATTGTATAAATTGTCTACCAATTGGAAGGTGGGCTGACTGATCCTCCCCGGTTCAAAGCATCCTTGGGAAGATACTGAACCCCAAGTTACCCCCCCACCCCACACACACCCGATCCATCCATCTGAATGTGAAATAAAAGTGCTTAGGTAACCTCTGACTATAAAGCGATAAATGATGCATATGTTTGTACCACTTGCCGTGTGTGATAAGCACCAGTGATGGATAGACCAATAAACTGGCCTTTTATGTGTTATTGTTTCCTCAATTTAGCCTCAAATTGGTTTAAATCTGAAAGATGAGCAGTGATGTGGAATAGTAACACCCTTCAAATGTCTTGAACCTATAAGGCTGTTA